CATGTAGTACCTATATATATAATATCAAAGCAATCGGACTTACAGTTTTTAACAAGAAGTCGAAAATATCACTTTTTACCAAAAATGACAAAAATACTCACCAAAATTAGAGAATTGAAGATATCATCACGAAATGAACAAATCTGAGAAAGGTCCACATGTAGTACCTATATATATAATATCAAAGCAATCGGACTTACAGTTTTTAACAAGAAGTCGAAAATATCACTTTTTACCAAAAATGACAAAAAAATTCACCAAAATTAGAGAATTAAAGATATCATTAAAAAATGAACAAATCTGAGAGAGGTCCACATGTAGTACCTATATATGTAATATCAAAGCAATTGCACTTGCGGTTTTTAACAAGAAGTCGAAAATATCACTTTTTACCAAAAATGACAAAAATATTCACCAAAATTAGAGAATTGAAGATATCAACATGAAATGAACAAACCTAAGAGAGGTCTACCCAAGGTACATATACACCAAGTATCAAAGCATTCAGGCTTGTAGTTTTCAAGAAGAAGTCGAAAAAGTAAAACATTGACACGGACGACGACGACGGACGACGACGACGACGACGGACGCCAACGGACAATCACTCATATGATAAGCTCTGCTCGACAAAGTCGACAGCGGAGCTAAAAAGTTGACGCAGGACACAAGACGACAACAAACAATCATCTATACCGACAACCCTGCATGTCATTTTCAATGACAACAGAGCTAAAAATGAAAAACTTTGCACCAACAATTTGGTGATAAAAAAGATTAAATACAGCAAGACACATTATGTATTGTAATCCACTTTGCCTCTACTAAAATGAAGATTCTACCTTAGCCATGAGAGACTCAGCAGCTTTTTTCTGTTCTATCAGAAGTTTGTTTTTCTCTTCTTCTCGTTTTTGTAATTCTTCTGCTTGATTTTTGGCTAAGTTAAGAACCTGCAAAATCAACAATGGATATTACAATGTAAATAAATTTTAATTAGCAAATGATTGCAGTGGTTGAATTTTTGTACAATTTACAAATAAAATACTGAACTTACATCATCTTTGGCTTTTGAAAGTTTGTCGTGCATTTCTCGTTCCAGCTCCAATCGTTGCTTTTCTAACTGTGAACAAAAATTCACACACAAAAAATGGTACTATCAGCAGGAGAAAATAGCAAGTGAAACTAATTGCATGTCCTCAATCTCTATGTTCAAGCCATCTGAAGGCAAGAAGAAGGCAAATATAGCAAAATTTGAAAAAGAAATCTTAGGTATTGGCAATAAATAAACAAATCTGAATGATATTATCCCAAGGCATGAATACCAATAATAAAGACAATCTGAATGACAGTTTTGGAGAAGTAGTGTCTTTTACAATCAAAGAAAGCTTAGAAAGAACTCCCATGTGCTGCAGTATTGGAGACATGAAATACAACTAAGGAATACTCTATTTATTACTATATTAGAAGCACATCCTCATTACACATAAAGCATTGCGTTTTTTTTAATGCAAAATCATTGAAATATGTACTTGTTTATAAATTATAAATATTTAACGAAATAATGACCAAAAATGAAGTAATCAGTACTGTGGATTATCTAAAAGCACCCATGTACCTAGTGCCATTAAAATTTGATCAGCGGTACACAAGATATTTATGGAGCACCTATAAAATGGTTAATTTAGGCAAACTACCGGCAGGTGATTAGTAAGCACAAATTTTAACCCTAAACTAAACATGTATATGTACCAAGTTTCATTGAATCTGCTGAGTGATTGAGATGCTGGTGGAAAAGTTAAATAATTTATATGCAAATTCAGTCATTAATATACATGGATTTCAACCAAAAACTAATCAGGTTTGCGATTTATCCAAGAGCATATATGTACCATGTTTCATTCAAATCTGTTGAATGGTAAATGAAAATGCTTAAAATAGGCTTATTATTATGTAAATTAGGTCATTAATATGCATGAACTTCATCCAAAAACTAATAATAACTTTGTATTATTGAAATTAATATGCGAAGCTTAGGTTTAGTAATGAGGGAAGGTATGGTACAATTATATTAATATTAATATAAATTGAACCATATCTTCCCCTTTTACCAAACCTAAGCTTCGCAAACTTGACTTAAATTCGATTAAATATTAATATAAATTATAAAAATTGTGAGGGTCGTCACAATGTAGGTCCTGTCATCACAACGTTGTTACCACACATGTGCACACGCACACACACACACACACACATACAGATGCACTAACCGCAAAGACACCCTTTGTGTGCTTCGCACACAGGAGTCAAGTAGATGACTGACGAACTGTAAGTGTCATGTTGTTAACTGAGAAGCTAAAACAAACTCTTGACGCACCTGTCTCCTTATGGCAGCTTTATCCTGTTCTGCTGATGCAGACAACTCTTGTTTTTCAGCCATAAGCTAAAAAGATAGGAGAAAATTATTAAATGCTGCTTATAATATGGTGGGAAGTATCAATGCTGCAGTATCTGTACACTGCTGGGGCTATGTGATACAAAACCAGCTGAAATTACCTGCCAGCATGCCTGGGACAGGTAAATCTATTGATAGTATACTTTAATTCAAATAATAAAATCCTCATATCGTGGCAAAAAACAACAACAACCTAGCGTAACTTTTACCACAAAGAAAAACAAATGAATGGATGTATACAAACTGACAATGCAACATCTTATCTTTTGCATGGCAAAAGTGAGTATAAAAATAATATATTATTTAAGCATTTTATATGGAAAACAATTACATAAAGAATAATACTCAATACTCCACATCGAATAATACAACTTGAATTGTATGAAAGTTCCTAAAATATAATAGTACGGCAACATATCTAAGCAAAATTTGGCAAGAAACACACTAGCCAATGTGTTTCTCAACTAATACTACATATACTGTATTAATCACAATGTATCTTAAAGAATAATGTAGCATGAATTGTAAAAATGTTCCCAAATAATAGTGCAGTGATATGTTTAAGCAAAATAAAATACGAACCAGATTTGAAAAAGGTGGGGGGAAAAACTGCGCTTGTCACTTTTTTTATTTATACTCACAAGCATAGGGATTACTACACTTATCTAAATGTTTATTTCAGTCAAATTTTACTCCATATCTTGAATATTGCCCTTGCTAAATACAGCAGAACTGAACTTGGTTGACATTTCATGAAAATTGATTAAGATTCCCAAATTTGAAGATGATCAGAGAAAAATTGTTTGTGTTATTGTAACAAAAAAAACAACGTTTTACGGCATTATCAGCAACAACAACAACAATAAGCACAGACATTTCCCCCCCATGTACATTGCCTTTTAATCTATGATGATACGAACAAGGTAAAAAGCTCAAAATGTTTTGCACAAGGGGTACATGCTCTTCAATAGCTGATACTATTTAGTAATTGTCTGATTTAACTTTTTGATATTCTATGAATATTTCTTCCACTTCTCAGTTGTATTTATCAGATGTTAGGTAGTTTTATAGCTATAGATTCTTATAATGACAAATTTGAAAATATAGACATTAGTAAAGTAAAACAAATCCAAAGGCAATCAAATGAGAATGATTATAATCTTCTTCAACATCAATTTATGATCTAAGTGCTAAAAAACAGCATTCATATAATAAAGACAAAATTCTTACCATATGTAAACAAATGTCAACAGACTCAGACGAAACTAGTGTACACAACTGAATCCGATTCCAAATTAGTTGTAATTTTATCAAACATGAATCTATTTTTATTGGTACTTGACTTTGATGTAGGAGTTGAAAAAAAATACCTTTGAATGCAGGGCTGGTAACAATTTGGCAGGACAGGTATAACTTTAAAATTAACCATCATACATACACAATTTTGCAGAAATTTCAAAAACTGGCGAAACCCTTTTGACTATGTACTGTAGATAACAGTGACCTAGTACACTGTGCTAGGTATAGTAGTAAGTATGGTTTAAATGGAAGCGGTCGTTGTGCCACGCCCCTGTTGAATATGGGACATACACAACACATGTAAAATACATTGTTTGTTCACATGAAATTCAAACACATGCTGCACCAAGACCAATGCCATTTTAATCCAAGTACTTTACCTGGTTGATAGTAACTCGTTCTTTTTCTAATTCTTGATGCAGCTGACTTATTTCATTATCTGAAACAAAAATAGCATGACATAATAATCAGCATCTTTATAAAAATGACAAATGCAAGGATCAAGTTTTTTTTTTGCTTGTTCTGTTACTGACTATGCTGGCATTGTTGAAATGTGAGTCTCTGAACAAAATGCTATGTATGTATATTTATCATAGATGCAATCCAGTGTAGAGTAAAATTTGTCTAACCGCAAACCCTGAGTAGAGTAAAACCTGTTCTTTGAGCACCATAGCCAACTGAAATAAAACCCACATTTTTTTCATATTTTTTTTCAAAAGTTTCGTTCAAGACTTGTAGTCAATGTGGTACAAAATTATCCAACTACGGGTAACTAAAAATACATAAAAATAGGCAATATGTAGGACCATAATTTAGCCTCCCCAAAATTGTTCAGCTAATCCCTGCCTATAGTGAAATCTGAACCCTATGAAAACTGGAAACCTGCATAAGTAGAACACTTCTTTCAGCACCTTCTTTATATAAAAGACTACCAACTATGACATTTGTAAACAAATAAAATTACTCACTTAACTGCTCTGTAATTTCCTCTTTAGTATCAA